CTATATCTAAACTATATTTGAAACATTTAAGGGCAAGACATTCCTAAAAATAAACTCTTAACCCAGCCATGTTCTGGTGTTAGATAAATGAATCTAAAATGTTTCTAGAATGGGAGGTCTCTCAGACTTCTAGGTTAATTTAGATTAAGGAGGAAAAAATAAAAATTACGGGCCGGCCCATGGCTCACTCGGGAGAGTGTGGTGCTGATAACACCAAGGCCCCGGGTTCGGATCCCATATAGGGATGGCCGGTTAGCTCACTGGGTGAGCGTGGTGCTGACAACAAGTCAAGGGTTAAGATCCCCTTACCAGTCATATTTTTAAAATAAATAAATAAATAAATAATAAAAATAAAAATTACATCCAGAGCAAATTGATCCACACCCCATATACATTTCTTCCACTGTTTAACCATAGGACTGAGCCAAGGCAGACATTTCTCATAGAGACACACTGTTGACTTGGCAAAACTTAAGAGGGATGAGGATCACTCTGTGTGTATCATTTCTACTTTTCCTCCTTGTGACTGTTTATTTTATGTATCAACCTTAATAGGCCACAGGATGCCCAGATATTTGGTCAAACATTATTCTGGGTCTGTGAGGGTGTTTTGGGATGAGATTAACATTTGAATCAACAGACTAAATAAAGCAAAGTACCCTCCCTAATGTGGGTGGCTCTCATCAATCAATTAAAGACTTGAATGGAATAGGAAGGCTGACCCTCCCTCAAGTAAGGGGAAAATCCTACCTAACTGCTTGAGCTGGGACATCAGTTTTCCCAGCCTTTGGACTGGAATCGATAGGACATTTTTTTTTTTTTTTTTTTTTTTTTTTGTGGCAGCTGTCCGGTTCAGGGATCTATCTGAACCCTTGACCTTGGTGTTAAAAGGTGGTGCTCTAACCATCTGAGCTAACCAGCCAGCCCTGGACTGGAACTGAAACATCATCTCTTCTTGCCTCCTGGCTTTCAGACTAGAAAATGTATACCACTGGCTCTCCTGCTGCTTAGGATTTCAGACTCAGACCGGAACTACACTATTAGCTCTCTCAAGTTTCCAGCCCACTGCAGATCTTGGGCTTCTCAGCCTCCATAATTGAGTGAGCCAATTCCTTATAATAAATCTCTTTCTATAATATGTATATCCTATTCTGTTTCTCTGAAAAACCTAACCCCTTAACATAAATTAACCTGGAAGTCTGAGATGCCTCCCATTCTAGGAAGAAACGCTACAGATTCATTAAGTGGATCAGGTCTGGGAAACAGCAAATAAGCCTCATGTCCTCTATCAGAGCAAAAGTCAAGAAATTTCAGATAACTTAGTCTGATGCTGTTTGCCACACTGTGTATTAAAAAGGCAGATTCCTAAAAAGAAAACAAAACTAAACAAAAAAATAAAAAGGCAGATCCCTACCAAACACTTTTGTTTCTACCCTTTTTGTAAAAAAAAAAGATGACTGGTAAGGGGGATCTTGACCCTTAACTTGGTGTTGTCAGCACCATGCTCTCCCAAGTGAGCCAACCAGCCATCTCGAAAACTAAACAAAAAAATAAAAAGGCAGATCCCTACCAAACACTTTTGTTTCTACCCTTTTTTTTAAAAAAAGATGACTGGTAAGGGGGATCTTGACCCTTAACTTGGTGTTGTCAGCACCACGCTCTCCCAAGTGAGCCAACCAGCCATCTCGATACAGGGATCCGAACTCGTGGCCCTGTTGTTATCAGCACCACACTCTCCCGAGTGAGCCATGGGCCGGCCCTGTTTCTACCCTTTTTGAAGCTATTCAGATCATTTCTAGTTCTCCAGGTACTAATTCTCTAGTTGTAAGTAAAAATACAACTAACTGTCCTGGCATCTCCAGACACTAGCTGGCAGACACAAATTTCTAGGCTGTCATAATTTTTCTGAGACAGTTGATATTGTTCTACTTGAAAACTGCAACATGCTCCAGCTTCAACATAGCCTTCCTCCATCTAAGTAGTGGCCAAATATTCACAATATACATCTCTTCTCCCCTCCTCCCATCAATTCGAAACCAGTGTATATTCTTAGGCTACATTCCATAGGCTAGCCATAGTAAATAGATCACATTCCCCAAAGAAACAATTTCTACAAAAGTGTAATATGAGAGGTATATGAGAAAACATCTTCTATTTCCTCTGGGCCCAACCTGAATCACACCTTCTGTCCACAACTTTTAGAAGCAGGCTGTTAGTTCAGCAGGCCACTCTCCCACTTTTTCTCTTTCCTCCCAGACTCCTTCATCCTCTACCAAAGCACAGACAAAAGATATCTCTAACATTCTTCCCTCACCCCCAAATCAGTGTATGATAATCAACAAAAACTGAGGAAAGATTCCTAGCCAAGAAAGAGACTCACAAGAGTGGCATTCTTGTTCTGATCATTCCAAACTATGAAACGCTGATGTCACCCTACAAATGGTGCCCCCCGTGCATCATTATTGCCTTTTTTTATACACCAGTGGCTGTTATATGTCCCCATCATTTCCTTTTGAGACTTTGAAATTCTGACAACATTTTTTACCTTCTTCATTTATTAAACTTTAAACACTTAAATGCTCCAAAGAGCACATGCATGGGACACTGTTAGGCTGAAAACATAAAAGTTTGGGGCATGATCACATTAGTCAGTTTGACTCTGAGTATAGTTAGAACCAGCAGAACAGGAAAAGTTCAGAGATGAAAAACAAGCCTAAAAAAATTAAAACAAGATGATATGAAATCTCAATTCCTGAAGACCAATGAATTACCAAAAACAGTGAATTGGCTTTAGAGGCAGTAATGAAATAATCCTATTTCTTTGAGGGAAATTATTTTAAGATCCCTAGGACAAAAGACAGTAAACAATGAAACGGGGATCATTAAAAAATTTCAGAACCAAAGATTTCAAACATCTGTTTTTCTGTGTCTGTATGCTGCCAAACTCATTCCCAATAAAGAACCAGAATCAGATTCTTACTAATATAAGATTCCTAAGACATGTCATGTTGGTTTCTGGAGAAACAGCATCTCCTGAAGCAGTTTTCAAAAATTAAAATGAGAAAACCAAAGTGTACAATGATAAGCCACTTTTTCCTTCCCACTATAAATTTTTTTTGATTTGCTCTCTGAGGATCAAGATAAAACAAAATCATTAGTCTCAGATTCCTGAATTAATCTGATCTCACCTCAAAGCTAATGTGGTCAAGAGTAGATGCTTTTGTACAATTAGGACAATAGGACTTTGTATCAGCAGGACGCTAGGGTTCTGGTTCCACTGTATTTACTGTAAAATACACTAATGGTGGGGTAGAGTTTAGAGAAGGAGGTGGAAACATCCATTACAAGGCAACAGGACAGATAGCAGGGCCCTAGGTAAACTTTAAGGAACTGATTCTACTCAGGTGGGGGGAAACCCACATAATTAAGTCTTACATGTTAAAATTATCACTCTCAATTCAGGAATAAGAGACATTTGGTTGCAGATATAATTCCATCTATAGATACTAACTTTAAATTTAGAGAAGAAAAACACTCATTGCATTAATATTATGGGTTGGGGTGTCTTATGTGATTCCTAAATCCAGCTACTATTTTTTTGTTCTGATACAATTTACAGCTATGGTAAGAAGACTACCACAGCCCTGGTTCAGGTGCGGTCTTTAGCTTCAGAAAGTCCATCGGTCGTGTAGCGGGCTGTCACTGCTAAATCTGTTGCTTGCAGAGGCCTCAGAGCTTTGGGTTTGCCGAGTAGAGTCCTCACCACTTAAGCTCTTCCTACATACAGGACATGTGTCATGCTGAAACAGAAAGATATCAGTCCATGTGAACAGCCTGACCTGAAAAATTGGGAGTACTGAACACTTAAGGAACCCTGAGAGTTGGCACATCAAAAGTTATGACTTGGCAACTAGAAAAAAACAGAAAGGGCACACATCTTCACACAGCACACATTGGGCTACAAGGTTTGGCACCAGCATATTCTCCAAATAAACTTTAAGCAGAACTGACAGAATTCTTTTTTTTTTAAAAGATGACTAGTAAGGGGATCTTAACCCTGACTTGGTGTTGTCGCACCACGCTCTCCCAAGTGAACAACCGGCCATCCCTATATAGGGATCTGAACCCATGGCCTTGGTTTTATCAGTATCACACACTCCCAAGTGAGCCACGGGCCGGCCCTAGAACTGACAGAATTCTAGGCCAGCAACTTAATAGTAGCTAACAGTAGCTCATATTACTGTTAAGTAGCTAATAATAGCTAGCTTAACAGTAGCAAACAGAACTAACCAGAAACAGTGACCTGAGATATGACAGGAGGGTAACTGCCTACCACTCTCCATATGGTCTGGATTAGGGGTCAGTAAACTTTTTCTTTTCTTTTCTTTTTTTTTTTTTAAAGATGACCGGTAAGGGGATCTTAACCCTTGACTTGGTGTTGTCAGCATCACGCTCACCCAGTGAGCTAACTGGCCATCCCTATATGGGATCCGAACCCGTGGCCTTGGTGTTATCAGCACCACACTCTCCCGAGTGAGCCACGGGCCGGCCCATAAACTTTTTCTTTAAAGGGATAGGGAGTAAATATTTTAGGCTTTGTGGGCCATACCACCTCTATTACAACTACTCAACCCTGCCGATGTAGAAGAAGAGAAGCCATAATTTGTAAACAAATGAGCATACCTGTGTTCCAATAAAACTTTTCTTATAAAAACAGGTGGCAGGCCACAGTGGCCTATGGGCTACAGCTTGACAAACTTTTCAGAAAAGTTCCAAACAGATAACAATTTTACAAAACAGTAATGGCAGTACTAGGAGTTAGCCATGGATTTCTAAAACTAAAATCCAATCTACTTGGCTCTCCATGAACTGTTAATTACATCCGTACTCTGAACCATCCCCTCCAAAAAGATGGTACTTGCATAGATACCTCATCATAAATGACAGCTGGCCGTACTCACCAGTTCTAACCATGGCACAATACAACTGCTGTGAAAGAAGTGATTGCAGGGTAACTGCCGGACTTCCTCTTCAACTGTGTAATCTTCTTTGCATACTGGACACTCTAAACCCATATCTGTTGGAGGAAGAAATGACTTTTAAACTAAACAAAAGCAAAAAGAAGGAAGAAAAAACTAACCCAATGTCTCTAACAATCCAAGGGATGCATAAAGAAAAGACATAAGACACAAAAGATGCATTCAAGTGAGAGGCAGATAAAAAGTATGAATTATATTTCAAAATGGGGGTAAGGGTAGTAGTAGACAGGGACACACAAAAAAGGACAAATGATAAATGGAGCCTATTCCAATAAGGCCTAGATAGGAACTAAGGCCTACTTTTCAATATGAGTTGAAAGAAATAAACTGGAGGGCCAACCCTGTGGCTCACTCGGGAGAGTGCAGCGCTGGGAGCGCCGAGGCCGCGGGTTTGGATCCTATATAGTGATGGCCGGTGCGCTCACTGGCTGACCACGGTGCAGGCGACACCAAGCCAAGGGTTATGATCCCCTTACCAGTCACAAAAAAAGAAAAAAAAAGAAAAGAAATAAACTGGAGCTTAGATTATCTGTTGAATAAAATAGGGAAAACATCTTCCCGAAATGTGTGACAGCCTTCTGGTAGTCAGTTTTCACTCAGGAAACACTGGCAACCATTTACCACAACCAAGGAACTCATCTCAGCAATCTTAGCAGTTCCCAGTCAGTGTCTCAAAAGCCGCTTTTTTTTTTTTTTAAGATGACCGGTAAGGGGATCTTAACACTTGACTTGGTGTTGTCAGCACCACATTCTCCCAAGTGAGCCACAGGCTGGCCCTTCAAGCCACTTTTACCTGGCTCTTTTCCACATTATGTATCCTCTTTCAGCATGGCTGCCCTAAGTTCTCTGTAGAAGTTGTTAACTAACAGCTGTACTAGGAGGTCGTGCTATAGAACTGCCAAATCCAAGTGTAGCTTGGGCCTCCAAGTCAAGTGACAAAACGTCCTCCTGAGAGGAAATGGTGACAAACTACATTGGGAGTTCCAAGCAGCAAGTTCTGAGTTTCCTAAATTTGGCTAACAATACCAGCTAGTTTACATCCCTAATGGCTGGGATATACTCCATGCCCCAACAGCAGTCAAGGCATTTGGAGCAGGACAATCACTTAACAGATTCACTCCTTCTTCATTCCCACCACCACTGCCCTAATTCTAACTTTTACTTCTCCTGCCTAGTCTACTGCAAGTCTCCCAGTATCACTCATCTCAGGCCTTTATATCTCCAAATATATCCTATATTCTATATTCCCAGTTCATCTTCACTTGGACTCTCAACTGGCATATCAAAATAACAAATTAAAAATTAAAAACATCACATCATCTCCTTACCCAAACCGGGACCCACTCAATATTCCCCCATCCCTAATGATGGCAGCACTGCCTTTAAAGTTCAAAGTGGCAAAAATCTTATAATCATCTTTGACCCTTTCCCTTCCTTCATCTCATTATGCAGTCAATGATGAAAGCCTTTCTTCAAAACGATCTTCTGAATCTATCCTTCCCTTTCTGTTAGCATCACCCCCAACACCTGAACCCCACCCTGGACTGCCACAATAGCCTCTTAAATCGCTCATTCTGCTCTCACCCCTTTCCAATCGATTTTACACATTACCTCCAGACTAATCTTCCTTAAAGACCACTTAAGGAAGTGGTCCCTCGTTTAACCTGTTAGCATCACCCCCAACACCTGAACCCCACCCTGGACTGCCACAATAGCCTCTTAAATCACTCATTCTGCTCTCACCCCTTTCCAATCTATTTTACACATTACCTCCAGACTAATCTTCCTTAAAGACCACTTAAGGAAGTGGCCCCTCGTTTAATTTACCTACTACCTAAAACAACCAGCCCGAACTTCTCTTGGAGTTTCAAGGCCCCACTCTTCCTATCCAGTCATACCTCCCACTGCTCCCCAAGTCAGATTCTATTTCATTTCTAATAAGGTCACTCTCCTTATACCTGAACTCCATGTCCATGCTAACATTCTTATATTGGTTCATACTTTCCCTTAAACAGAATGACCTAAGATGGTTCACTTTGTCTTTAAAATCTTCTCTGACTCTAAACCTGAATTTGTGGAGAAAGAAATTCCCAATCCAAATTAATGTCCCTTTATCACTAAATTCCTTCAGTGCTCATAAATAAAATATCTATGTCTAATATACCTAACTGCATCTGACACAAAGCAGATGTGAAATGAATTTCCAGTCTCTCACTTTTTCTCTTCCCATTTCTCCAAAGTCTATATCATCTACCTAACACTATTGTTAACACTGTCTTTTAATCATTTGGTGAGTTTTGCTTACACTAGTAAGTTCTTCAACTTATTAGAATCAAGTCCTATATATCTTTGTACCGCTTTATTTTCAATGGCACCTAGAAAACAGGACATGGTAAATGCTCAGGAAGTAACTGTTGACTAACCTAGTGAAGCAGCAGGCACCTTCCATATCTGGCACACCCAGGTAGGAATTTTAGGGGGCTACAGCTTCAACTGAAGATCCTTAGAATAGGAGGGGATTTTGAACAGAGATCAGAAGATGACAGAATAAGTATGAAAATGAACCTACCAACTTGTTCCTGAGTTACTGTCACTGTTGGAAGTGATGTAATCTTTTCCTTGTCAGCTGGGGGAGGCCCTGTGTTTTCCAGTTGTCCTAAAAGCTACAAAAAAAGAAAAAGAAAAAGAAAAAGAAGAAGTGGTAGACACCTCAATATTCCTGGAGAGGGAGCTGCTCCAGCTGAGAACAAACAGTGCAGATATTAGAAATGTTAGTTCCTCTTACTTCCGCGAGACTCTGAGAGGCTTGGGTTTCCCCTTTCCTCTTGCTGAAACACTCATAATTGTTTTACAATTTCAGAGTGACATAAGTAGAAGCCTACAGACATACCCATGATTGCAAGGCCCACCTTTGGGCATAAAGCAACTTCAGGGGCAGCAAAAGGACTACAATGTCATGAGTAAAAACTACAGTCCAATAAAAAGTAATACTTAACCAGTCTAAAAAAACTTCATTCCATAGGAAGGAAGAAAAAGGTGGGAGTATGGAAAGTAGCATAAGGTAAGCCAAGAAATAGGTAAATTACTACCTACAAGAAGACTTGGATATAAATGACATGCTTTCTATTCCCTAATCCACAAGGGAAATGAAAAACCAATCAAATTAAAATGAACATAAACACGTGGAAGCAATTATACATGGCATGGGAATACCTTTTTCTCTGCTTCCTTCCCCTACTTTGCTCCATCTAGCAGAAATCCCTGCTTGAACATGTGAGGAGACCCACCTTTTTTGTGAAGTACTTGTTAATAGGATCCTCATAGGACTGAACAAGAGGCCAAAGATAAAATACACTGTTTGTTGTAGGAAAAGACTTTTCTTCCTATGGAGGTGAAACTATCTTCTAGAAAGCCCCTTGGACCTAGGAGGTACATGGATGCTGAGCTAACCCCGTAAACCATTTATCCCTTTAGTAAAATGGAAACCCAAAAGTTCAAAATATTAGAGAAAGCAGAGTGACTGCCATTTCAGAAAGTAGCAGAAGGAAAGCAGGAAGCCTGTGTAACCATGAGACACACTGAACAGACACCCTGAAAAGGCAGCTCCTCACCTGGGTTACAATGGCATCAAGCCCTGTCTGACCCCAGGCATAGTCCCCAGGGTTGGAGTGCAGCATCCCGCTCCTATACATAAGATGAGACAGACAGCATTAGATGGAGTGACCAGGCTCTGCCTTACACCACAGAAAAAACTGGCAGAGGGATCCTGTTCTCTCTCAGAGCTAGAAAGTCACTAGTGCTCTAGAATCAAGAGGCAAAGAATTTCTCTGTATTTTCAAGGTCAAACAGATTATCCAGAGATAGTCTCTTACTCTCTAGGGATTTTACTTAATTGGAACACAGAATGTGAAGCTACCTAAAGTACCACATGACAAGCCAGAACAAAAAAAGTGACTCATTGCCTGTTAAGAAAAGTTTGTCTTTCCTGTGTCCACTTACATTAAAAATAGATGGAGCTGCTTTCTAAGGAGAGTTTTCCCTTCATGACTGGCCAAAAGCTACAGCAGACTTCCCTCATTTTTAAGAGGCTGCCATGGTCCTGGACAAGGAGGAGCTTTCAAGCAGGGAAGCAGCCATAGCAGTCTCTCTGAATTACAACTGAGAGCAACTACAAAAAGGACTTGGCAGCACCTCTTTTTTGGAGCTGCTGGTACACTACCCTGGATAACAGAGATCGACTCTTTGGATGAAACATGTTTAAATGAACTACAGGCTGGAAAATAGGGTAATTGTGTGGAAGGACTGAGGTCCTTCTGAGCAAAGAAGCCTTCTGGGGGCAGGGCTAGAAATGGCTAGAAACAATTGTCCAGAAAAGAAGAAATTCCATCATTAACCCTCCATACATAAGTGTCACTCTGATGCTGAATTATAGCCTTTTGTTTCTTCTAACAAACACTCTTACTTTAGAAAAAGAAAGCTAAGCATTATGTTTTCAATTTCAGAAATTCTTGAGTAATAAAATTTCCCATATGGTCTAGAGGGGAAACCCAAAGATCAGATACCAAGCCTGGTAGGGACAATCTCATTCAACATAACCCTCAGACCATAATATAAAAGGCCCCAAACTTATCCAGCAACCAAACACCCTGGGGGACCAGGATGGCCTTCCTGAGCCTGAACAATAAAAAATAACTTCTGATTAAGTTTAGGCTCAGCAGATGACGGCAGTCGTTACTGTTTCAGTCACATCTACATACTCACCTATGCAGCTCTTTTTCTTTCTCTCCATAGCACAGAAACTATAGCACCTAAAATGATGCTACTCCAGCAGAGTAGAGATATAAAGCAATTAGTTACTTACCAGGAAAAAGGGTGTGGGGGTCCAGGAATTGCAGGATTTGCAAAGAATCCTGCAAGAATCTGTTGTATTATTCTGTGAGAGGAGAAAAAATTAAATAAGACAACAGACGAATGGAAGTACTACACAGATATCCATGGCTGACTAATCACCAACTATTTCCTCAAACCGTAATAGCTTTTCACTGACTATAACACAAGAGATGGCTCTAGAAACCAGTCTGCTGCCTGGCAGTGTGCTATTCTCCTATTATGGCTGTCTTTCTGAGCTCTGCTACCTTACAGATTAACAGACTGTTGTGAATTAGGCTGGAAAGGGATCTGATGGTATGGTGTAGTTTTCAAACTATGTTCCTTGGATCTCTGGCACCAATACAAGAGGGATTGAAAGAGATGCTAAACCAGTGGGATTCTGGGCCCTCCCTACTCCCTTTAACAAAGATAGTTACACTTTTATGTGTTTTACACAATCGATTTCTGTATATCTTATAGAAACCTTTTTTTAAAGGTTAAGAATANGGCACGACACTGAGGGTTGTGATCCGTTGCCGGACACGAAAAAAGACAAAAAGGAAAAAAGGAAAAAAAAAAAAAAAAAGGTTAAGAATAATTCAATTTTAAGGGCATCTCAGATGGTTATAACAAAAACACACACAAAAACAAACACATGCTTGGCATCTGTCATTCTGAACACTTAAGATGACTTATGCACCCAGTACATTATCCTGAGATGGTCTTTGTTACCCAAAGAGATACTGGGATAATGTCTCAGCAAAAGGAAAACCCCGAAAGAATTATTCCCCCAGATCTTCTGTATTCTGAATAAGCACTTTTAACCTGCTAGTTCCTACTTTATTAAGCTAATCCATATAACAATAGCAGGAGCCAATATTAGACTTTCCCTACTACTAAAGTTCAATAATAAATAACTACACTATTCCCTTTGTTTTTGTTTGTTTGTTTGTTGTAATATTTTTCCACTATTTATTTTTGAATTGACAAAAATTGTATATTTTTATGGCATACAACATGATGTTTAGAAAAATGTATATACTGTGAAATGGCTAAATCGAGCTAGTTAACATATGCATTACCTCACATACTTACTATCATTCTTTCATGGTAAGAACACTTAAAAATCTACTCTTAGCAATTTTCAAGTATACAGTACACTGTTATTAAATACAGTCACTATGTTGTACAATAAATCTCTTGAACTTATTCCTAACTGAAATTTTGTACCCTTTGACCAATATCTCCCCAATCCACACCTTGACCCTAGTCCCTAGTAACCACCATTGTACTCTCTGTTTCAATGGGTTCAAGTTTTTGAATCCTCTGTGTTTGTATTAAAATATGTCCAAAAACTATTTGATAATCCTCCCTTCAGTGTGGGCTGGACTTAGAGACTTACTTTCTAACAACAGAATATGGCAGAAGTGATAACTGTGATTTCTGAAACAATGTTAAAAGACACTGTGTCTTCTTCCTTGTACTTCTCTTGAATCATTTGCTCTGAGAGCAAATATTAAGCAGTTCTATGGAAAAGTCCATGTGATGTGGAAATTCTCTTCACCTGCTTTTGCCCTGCTGTCTCTCCACAAGGACCAGCTCAGAGTCAGGGAGAAAGAAGGTAAGCTAGAAAAACCTCAGCTATTTCCACTGCTGGCAAAAATGCCAGCAATTCCTGCCACAAGAGTCCTCCAGACCTCTCAGGTCCCAAACCCAGTTTGGAGAGTAGCTGGGAATTTGTGCAGCTACACAGCCTCATTGTAGAAGCCCAAGGAGAGCAACCCTCAGCCTCCTGACCTAAGTGGCTATGGCAAAGCACCATCTTGAAACTGAACCCACTGGTAGAGTGTCCTGCCCTTGAGATCGGTGAAAATTGACTCCCTCTGTCTTGAGGCCCCACCTTCATTCCACCACGTTCATATGAGCACTGGCAGGATCATGACCTTGGCTGCCTGGAGCCTAGGCCAAACAGATTAACTGAGACCCCAGTGTCTGAACTCACGTGACACCCTTTCCCCTTCCAGAGAACAGACAGACCTGCTCAGCAGGAAAGCCACTAATAAGTAGTGCTCCAACGTGTTTGTGTGCACCCGCTCTGCACAACCTACTGGCCCACTGAGCCCACCGGTGCCCATGCTGGCCCAAAAGCCAGTCCAGCAGTAGCTCCGCCTTCCCCTGCAGCCGTCCACTGAGCTGCTGGGCTAGCCCTGCTGCACCCTTGCAGGCTTGCTCCAGGATCAACATCTGATCCAGCAGCCCTCTAAAAAGCTTCCAGGCCCTGCCACACCAGTGTACACCTGCTCCCTGATCAACAGCAATCAGACATCTGCTTTGCCTCCCCATAGAAGGTCTACACAGAGCTACCACACCTCTGTAGGCTTGTTCTGTGTTCAACAGTTGATCTGGTGGCCTTCCACAGAGGTGCTGGGCCCTGCTGCACTAGTGTATACCTGGCTCCCTGACCGACAGCAATTGAACAGTGGCCCTGCCTTTCCCTGATAGGCTTATACAAAGCTGCCAGGCCTGGCTGTATCCTTCCAGGCTTGCTCCGGGCTCAAGAGCTGATCCAGTACCTCTCCATGGAGCTACCAGGCCATGCTGCACCTGTGCATGCCTGCTCCCTGCTTGACAGAGGATCAGGTGGTAGCTTCGCCTCCTCTGGCAGGCCTCCATAGAGCTACGTGGAACTGCTGCACCTGTGCATGCCAGCTCCTGGTCAGGAAGGGGCACCCACTCCTCTGACAGGCCTTTGTGGAGATGCTTGACCCTCGCCCCTCCCCCACACCCAGGCGCACCTGTCTCCAGCCTTTCAGCCCAAAAGCTGGTCAGGTAGCACATGATCTCCAGGGAGAAACAACCTCAAAGCTGCATGCCCACACTTGGCCTGATAACCAGTCAGGCAGTGACTCTACAGCTCAGAGTGACTACCAAACAGCCAGTCTGAATGAGAAACTTAACAAAGAGATAGATATAAAAAGAACCAAACAGAAATCTTGGAGCTGAAGAATTCAATGAATGAAATAAAAAATACAGTTGAGAGCTTCAACAGCAGACTAGATCAAGCAGAAGAGAGAATTTCTGAACTTGGAAACAGATCTTTTGAAACTGCCCAGTCAGAGGCAGAGAAAAAGAGTAACAATAAGAAAGAATGAAGAAAGCCTACAAGACATATGGGACACCATTAAGCAAACA